TCCCTCTGGTGGCAGCATTCTGGTCTCCCCACCGGTGTGACGTGGAGCTGAAACCCTTCCAAGGCTACAAGCTGGAGATCCGCTCTGCTGGGCTCCTCTCTGAGCCGATATGCAGCTCCATGTGTCCAACACCAGGATTTAGTCAGAGACCAGATACTGAAGTTTTGCAACCTGAGCAATTGTAAAATTTGTTTTGATGCTGCACTTCAATGTTGAGACACTCATAATGGTCTGTAATATAGTGGAAGTTTTTAAAGTAAGCTTTGGAATGCGTTTTTCTGGTTTTAGATTGTACCTTGGTGTTACGATGGTCGAGAGGTGCAACGCTTGGCTGTTTGCACAGCTCGATTGTCGTGCGGTCATTAGTCGCGCGGCCGCGTCATGTTTTTGTAAAGCTTTTGCCTCATTACATTAATTGTGGCTGTCCCTGTGCCACCCTCCCTAAATACAGATTTTCATGACTTCATCTACATGTGTCAGTGTAGAATGGGAGACTTCTTTTCCAGCCTTGGCAAGGTTCTGAGGTGCTCCAGCTTTGGCGCAAGCGAGTTATCCCAGGCATTGGCTCTGAGGTCGTTATTTCAGTCCCAGCCCAAGCAGGCAGTGGCCGTCTTTTTTTCTGGGATGGTGCCATAATGCATTTAAGAACTTCCTGCATTTATTTGCATTGAGTAACTGCCCTGTTGACCGAGAGACTTGAAGTTCAGCATAAATATGACATAATATTTGCCTGACTCTTATTTTTTCTTACTACAGCATACGGTGGCATGTAGTTCTCAGCTGTGGCAAAACTGCAGCTGAAAACAAAGCTTCTCTTCCAGTTTAATATTTGCATGTCAGACATCCCATATTTAACTTGCCTTTTCACTTTCAGTATGAGGATTACATAAGCTTCAAATTTTTGAGAGTTAATAAAACCATATTATAATTCAAGCCATAGTTATTTCTACAGAAAATCTATTTAAACATCTTAAAAACCATCTTGATAACTGAAACCATATACCTTTTGAAAGAAGAAATTAATATTCTTTCCCAGTGTTAAGTTGTTTAATCCTAACACTTGTTTTTATACAGAGTCGAAAGCTGGATGTGTATTTTGAATATGAGGAAAAAATAATGAGCAAATCCACTCTGGATAAATCTCTTCTGGACATGATTTCTGATCCAGACGGTGAGTACTTTAAATCTGAATTCAGTATAAAATTTGTTAAGATATCCAATAAATCTGTACCTGCTAGGACTTCAGGGTTGATAAAGAGCTTATGTGCAACCTGTGCAAGACATGTTAAGAAAACAGCCTTTTATTGATTTTAAGTAGCAGTGTAGAGAACTTAGTATTTTGGTTGAGTAATATCCAAAGCATTGACAGCTTTTTCAACTCATTGCACCTTTCCTAGCTCCTTGTTTCTGAAGATATTTTAAATATTTTAATATTTTAACCTTTGTGCTTTGCCAGTATTTATGAGTATAGCATGGAATTGTGTGGTCTGAACAACTCTTAATTCTTTAAAATCCTGCTCTGTGTTTTATAATGAGTACATACCCCACCAATAGAATGAACAAGGGCATCTCATAAAATTTGGTTAGATCGAGAGGTTGCAATACAGGTGGCTCTTGCTTGTGTGAGGAAAGCGATGGATGGGAAACGGAGAGAGGAGGGAAGCAAGATGGAAAGTGTCCAATTCACTAAGAGACTCACCAGAATTTTCTGTGTGTTGACGCGGCTGTGGCACACCTGAGCAATGCAGCCCAGCTGCTGGTTTGTACGTAACAGAGCTCCACAGGCTGGCAGGTACTCGGCTCCTCTTCTCTCTTAGCAGTGGTCACTGAGGGTCTCTCTGTAGAAGGCTGAGACCAGGATGGGTTCTCAGCTTTTCGTGGTATCAGCATCGACTCTCACTGCAACCTTGCACAGCCTGAGATACTTCACAGCCTGCCGATGGATCTTAATGTGATCTGGTACCAGCTGACTGGAACAAAATAACCTGCAGAACAAGAGCGTAAAACTTAGGTTATGACCACTGGCCTGTCTGCATTTTGGCAAGCATATTGGCAAAATTCAAGCATTTAGAGACCCAGGGTTCCTGCTCTTTTCCCGGCGTGCTCTTTAAAACATGTTTGGTTACTACATGCTTATGTGTGTAGCTACCTACTGGATGTAATGTCTGCTTGGAGTTTTTATAGTGAAACATATTTGTAGAAAGTATATTTAAATCCTGCTGACTTCAAAAAAAATCTTTTATTGATGTCTGTGCCATAGAATCAAAAAGCAGTAGAAATAGTATACGGTTGGTGTGGGTCTGGACTAAAATTTTACAGATCTTGTATTGGATCAAGCCTAGAAATGAGGAATCTTTCACAAAATCTAATGTCAGGCCTCTGTGTAACTCAGTAAAGACATTTATTATTAATACAAAGCTAATGGGAACATGTATAATCTGTACTTTTATTAAACGTCAATACAAACTAGTCCTTTTCCACGTTCAGCATTAACTGTTCATGTGCTATCTTGAATTCAACTTTTATGTATCGTATCAACATTTCTGTTATTGAAGTTCCTGGGTTTTACACGTGAGAAAGATTAGATTTCCAAGCTAGGGTTTTCCTTCATAAGATACATGTTCAGGTGTTCACAGTAGCACCATTTGACATACACTGCCCAGGGTTATGATAAATTTATGTAACAGCAGGATTTAAGTTAAACTACAGCGATGATTTCTGGGCATGCTGTCGTGTTAAACTGGCCAGCTTCCTATTGTGTGATTTACTGAGAAATACCAGGAAAAGATTTTGAATGAGTAATACGTCAAGGTGTGCTGTGCTGTCACTGGTGAACTACTTGTGTGCATTACCTGTGGGGGTACGTGGCTCGCAGACGTCGATACCTGCGGAGCTCTGCGCAAAACCACCGAGTCTTCACTGCTCAACAGCCGCAGCCTCGCATTCCTGGCTGTGCCGTGCTGATCTGCCGCTCAGGGCTGTGAGCTGGGCTTCACTTCACTGAGGTGAAATGTCACCAACATGTGAGTGAGACCACTTGTACTCCAGTGAGCCACACTTTCCTGGAGTTTTGTAGGCACGGCAGGTAGGGCCAACGAGGGAAACGCTCTCGAGCGCCTGTGTGTTCCAACTGAGACCAACACGAGGTGGTCAGTGAAGTGTTGAAGCAAACTCTAAACTGGGGAGCTAGGAACCAAGGTTCCAAGTCAGTTACAACAAAGAGTCAGTTATGCTCTATATTTAGAATGTTTAAGTGCTTTTTTTCACTCAATGGAACTCCCAAGTGGATGTCTACCTTGAAAGCTGGCTTTTGGTTTAGATAATACATGAGTTTCCTCAGTTCTTGACCTTCTTGATCTTGCACATATTTGGTAAAGGATAATAAAACTTATTTCCCAGAAGAAAATTGTACCAAGTCATAAATGTTCATTATGACAGTGCTTACTCTTAACTTCTGCCAAACTAAATACATGCTCACGTATAAACAAAAGTTGCAGATTAGATTAGATGATCCCCTGCTGACATGACCCCCATTCCATGCGGGGGGGAAGAAAAATCCAAAACAAACAAAACAACAACAACAGCCTGGAAAAAAAAAGTATTTTTCTTACCCGCAAATAGAAGAAATTGCGTTTTTATTTAAAAATTTACTATATCTAAAGGTATCAAGCTTTTTAAAGTATTGGATTACAAATTCGAAATTTTTTATAAAAGAAGTTGTCCTTCTGAAGTCTACATTTAAAACTATGGTCTTTAAAAATAGTGACCTTTTTCTCTTCTAGAAGAAAGTAGATGGTGTTCAAAATCTGCAGTAGTAGGTTATAGTCTAAGTAATACAAGGGTGGCCAGGTCATCCTTTTGATCTGTAGAGATGAATTTTGATTGCCATTGATAATGCTTCCCAAGAATTCATAGTAGTGTTTTTCTCTGACAGAAGATGGTTTGGGAGGTGAAATCCTTCCTGAAGGCAAGTTGGAAGGTGAAGACTTTTTTCCTGCCCAAAACTTCCCATCAGTGCTTTTGAAGCCCTTGAGTGGTTCAGTCCAGTCAGCCGCAGAGCTGAATAAACTAATTGTGGAGCTAAAAACCAGTGTGCTGTGGCTTTTACTTTTATGGTTTTTCTGTAGTCTCCTCTTCGATGGATCTGCTCCGTGATAATGCTTGCAGTCCCTGCATAAAATAAGACATAATGCCACTACATAATCCCTCTAGTATGTTATTTGAATAATAACTTTTCGCTACAAGCAAAAGGGGAAGGTGTAAGGAAACTTTCAGACACAGTGAGCCAGTCTAACCCAACTCTTCATAACGTTGCTGTCTCTCTACTGTTTTATGCACTGAACAAGCCATGGTTATAGATAACGATTATTGTCAGAACTAGAGGTCTGAATGTACACATATATTGTAACTGAAGAGCAAGTAACGTAGCGGCATAGTTACAGTTGTAGTTCTTTAATTTTTCTTTCCTCTTTGCTGCAGCGGGCACTCCAGAAGACAAAATGCGATTATTTCTTATCTATTACATCAGCTCAGCTCAGGCACCGTCAGAGGTACGGATGTTCTTTACAAACTCCAGCACCACATTCTGCCACACGGGGCTTTTCCCTTTCCTTTCAGCACTGAACAGCTATTTCTGCTTCTCTTTGAAGAAATATACGAAATGCCCAGGAAATACTAAAACTTGAAATGAATTTTGTAGTGCTATCAGGGAATCTGCTCACAGAGCTTTAGCAGCATGTGAGTGACCAGTAAGGAAGATGATCTTCTGAAATACTTAGTTCAGAGTTACTGCAAGACACATTTTGGCATGCCTTCTGTTATTCTTCTTCACTGCTCAAAAGAAGTAGATAAAACAAAATGTTAATATGACTCTTTTCACCTTGTCCTTGTATATTCAGGAATAATTGGGTCTGACTAGCAACTGAATGAAGCAGAAATGGTTCTTGAGCCAGTATCTGAATAATTCAGGAAACAATTTCTTAGTGTTTCTTTTGAACTTACGATGACTAATTTCAAGGGAGTTTTTTATTAAACTGTAGAAACTTTATGTGGTAGAAATAATTTGTTGGGTTAGGCAAAGAGAAAGTATTCCTATAAACATGTAATAACTCCTCTTCATTTTTATTTTTTGTACTTGTAACATTTTATAGCAACTAGTATTCTGTCAGGTTTTTTAAGGATGCTGATGTAAAAGGCTGTTCCCACAGCTGAAAGTGCACAGGATTTGATTCCACAAGTACTGTTAAGTTTAATGAGAGGGACTCACAGCGAATTGCGGTTTAAGTTATATTTTCTTACCTGGTAGGAGGTGGGATAAAGACTCATAATTACTTTTTAACTTTGGTTCATAAATAACTTTACAATGCTTATTTAATACTTAGATAAGGGCATCTTGTCTTTCCACATAAAGAGAGTTAAGAGTAGTTTCAGCCTTTTGCAATTCTCCACTTCGTAATTCCAGGTTGATCTGGAGCAGTATAAAAAAGCGTTGACGGATGCAGGTTGTAATCTTGCTCCTTTGAGCTACATAAAACAATGGAAGTAAGTAATTTCTTTTGTCTCCTCTGTGAGGCTGTAATTGGGTAATTGTTATCAAAGATGATGTTTTCCTTCTCATGCGTCCTAAATTATCCTTAAACTTTCATTCTGGCTTAATTTTTTGCTGTCATTGTTATGGTAATACATGCAAATACCATTTTAAAACTAAGCTCCAGGAATTCCAGAACAGTGTTGAACATGCCACATAGTAGTGTACTTAATGATCCGGGACAAGTTACTGAATTAAATGAAAAGGTGTGCTAGTTCAGACTTCCAGTTTTCCTTTGGTTCGTACCAGTGCTGCCTATTGGTTATTCTAGTTTGACGTGCTATCAGAATAAAGCCTTTGTCTTTTAAGTATAAAATCTAATTCCTTTCAGTTCCTTAACTGTTGTTTCTTTAGACAAGAGGAACGCATGTAAAATAAATAGTTACTTCTGGAAAGGAGCTTGAGAAGCAGAAGTTTTTTCACTTTGAGATGAGCAGAGTGAAAAGTTGTACAGCGGTATGTGCCGTGAGATCAGCATTTGTTCTCTCTCCCTGCTTCCCCAGGGCATTCGCTAAGATGGCTTCAGCTCCAGCCAGCTATGGGAACGCTGCACCTAAACCTCTGGGGTATGCCTTTGATTAATTTTCTGTAAGCCGTGAGGTTCTTTTAGCTTATTTTGGTAGTACTGAAATTGTGGTTAGTGCTATATGAGGCCCAGAATAAAACATTTCCCTACTTCTAAAATGTTCTAAGTTACAGTTACAAGCACTCACCTCCCCTTAGCAGTACGTAGCACTTAAACACCAGAGAATAAAAAAGATCTGTGACTAAGTCCCCAGAGTAACTTAACCTGGTGGTACCTGCACAACAGGTGTGCTCTCACACGGGAAGAATTGAGCACTAGGAAGTGGATCCGTGACAGCCGTCGCTCTGAGCCTGGCTTAGTCCGTGACAGAAGGCAGGAACAGCCCCATGAGCATCAAACTGGTTCTCTGCAGGGCTGGGAAAGTGCCAGGGGTGCAGGGAGACGTGGCTCTTTTACTGGGCTGTCCTGGGCTGGGCATCTGCTTGTTGAAAGGGGCAGTTGGTTATGGCAGGATGTGAAAAGAAAAGGTGATGGCTGTGCATAGGGTACATAGGTCCTGTTCAGGGTATGAGACTTGGGTCTTTCTGTGCCTGAGAGAATTTGAGTCCTCGTAAGGACGGTTGTAAGGAAACTGCGGGGCAGCACGATTAGAGAGAGTTCCAGGGCGGTCTCACTTGGAGGAGTTGGTTGGAGACACTGAACATCTCTCTTAAACGTGGTGATTAGGACACCACTGGAAAGGGGCACTCAAATCCCTGCGTTACTCAAGTTAAAAAATAAACTGTCAGATGGATTAAAGAGTAGGACTTAATACTCCTGCTGATGAGTGAGAATCTGAGTGCTAGATTAGAGTTGTATTTCTATACACTTGGTTGCCCTGTGGTTTGAAGACTATATTTCATGAAAAATTGAATGATCAACTGTAATGGGAATTGGATGTCAGCATAAAGCTTGAGAATGCAAATCAAAAAAGGTCTTACGCATCATCTTTATTTTGGTTTTCAGTCTGTTTTCACGTGTTATGAATACAGGATCGCAGTTTGTAATGGAAGGAGTGAAGAACTTGGTACTGAAGCAACAGGTGAGTTTAAAAAACAATTTAAAAAGTCTATCACATGAGCATTGTGAACATTTAGACAACTTTCAGCACCTCAGTCATATTAATAGAATCAATTGTACAGTAGAAAAACAAACATCAACCTCTGCTGGCAGCTAGGTCTATCACTTTGTAGCTTCCAGTTTTTAGACGAGTAATGAATAGCGTTCAAATTTTCTTTGAATGCTTTTGTTTGTAAGGAAAGGACTCCAGTATGTGCAATTAAGACTGATTTCAGCATTATGAAAAGAGCAGCTGTGGTATATACTCAAAATAGAATAGACCTCTGTGTCTTTACTTAGAACAGCAGGTGCTAAATGCGTCTGTTCCAGAGTGAGGTAAGAGGCTGAAGGAGCTCTCTCTGTGTTCAGCTACAAGTCAAGCATTTCTAGTTTTCCCACGTAGGTACGGTGCAGCAACTGCAATCCTGAAATGTGCTTCAGAGTCAAAGTGTGCTAATAATGACATTGTCACCTTCAAACATTCACTTCAGAAAATATTTCTGAGCATAAGTTGCGTGCAAATTTCAGTGTACGCCCTCCAGAAGAAAACAAACAACAACAAAAAAGACACTGGAGCTGAATTGTGCTTGCCTTCCCTCTAGAGGACACGTTATTTTCTCCAACATGCATTTTTGTCAGATGACAATAAATAAATGCTTACAGTTAAAAATCTTAATTCTGCAATATTTTGACACCAGGATTTCCAAGGAAAAGATCATTCATCATACTGCAATAAATCACATAGTTGATTTTACCATAGCCATTGTTTGTTTAGTCACACATATATGCATAATTCATGCATGAAAAGTATCAACTATCACATAGAAGTTTTTTAAATTGTGTCTGTGGCTTTTTTAGGATAGTCAATGGAATTAATTGTGCAGGAATTTCACCGTGACGAGATATGACAAGTTGCATTGCAGTTACAGATCAGTCATGAAATGTAGTTGTGGAAATTGTTTTAAATAGGCAGCTTGCCTGTATGTTGTCTTTCATGGAGAGATCTTCAGATAAACTGTTACTTGTAACAACCGATAATAATTATTAATAATATATATATATATA